CTCCCCGCTCCCCAACCCGTCCCTTTGCCTTTAGAGCCGTTCTTAACTCTAGGGGCGTATATTATCAGAGTGATTGGAAGCGGACCTGGAAGAGGTGCCGCAGCATGTGCTCAGGGCAGGTCGATTAATTACTGCTGAAAGGATGACGCCACGGGCCACGAGCTCGCGAACCCGCTCGTTCCCCGAAAAAGCTCCCCGAACAGAAACACGGACGAGTGGCCCCCAGAGGGACCTGCTGGCTTGGCTCGCTGGGCTCATCAATGGTGTCGAGCTCTACGTTACTATTGTGGCTGCTACTGCCTGGGTGCTGGCCGCTGCTACAGCCTACACCTACTCCTTGGGGCCGACCTCCTCCGCTAGTCTCCTCTCGATAAGCCCGCACGGGGCAGCGCCTGCCAGGAAGACCCCCCCCCCCCCCCTCGGACTCCATCAGCTGCTCCAACTGCCTCGAGAGAACGATGCCGAGGTTCGTGTCTCGGTGGAAGTAGCACGACATGATAGCCTTGGGCTTCTCGCCCTGTTCCGCCTTCAGCACCTGCACCCTGTGGTGCGGGATCACCCTGCCCAACTTCTGCGCCGTGGTCCTCTTCGCGAAGATCTCGCTCGTGGAATGCTCTTTCATCTCGTTACGTAGCTTGATGCCCATCTGCTTGGGGCCGCCCGAAAACTGCTTGCCAGCGCCGTGCGAGATAGACGCCATCGCCACGTGGGCGCGAGGGGGCCTTCGAGCTGCGTGGTCGACTGGATGGCCATCTTTGTCGAGCTTCTTCACCTCGGCGCTCTGAGTATTGTACCTGGTGCCTGCCTCCTTGCCCGCCGCTGCCAAGCCGACCGTCGCGTCGGGCATCTCGTGCCTGAGGTGCGCGGCGCTCTTGAGGTCCGCGACCTCGCGAGCCAGGGGCAGGGCCAGCTTGTCGTTCGCCTTCGACGTGTGCCCGACAGAACCTTTCTCTCCTCCTTTCCTCGAGCGCCCTCCACCCCCGTCTTCTCCTGGACCCTTCTGGCACTTCTCCGGGGGGGTGCGCCGCGATGGGGGCTCCGCAACCATCTGGCTCGGATCGCCATCTCGCATCTTCAACGCAAGGGCGTGGCTGAAGCGGAAGGTGGCCACTGAAGTGATCGCGGAAATCGTCGAGGCTCGAGCCGTCGAGCTCGCAGACGGGGCAGGCGAAGGAGGACGCGGGGGCAATCGCTTTCAGGGGGGAGGGGCCCACGGTTAGGCAATGTCCACAAAACAGAAAGCCCATCGCATGTTTTGCTGCGTTTGACTTGCGTGCGAATGCTGGTCTGCAGTGAATGCATACTTTGGTAGGAGTAATATCATGGCACGCATTGCGGGGCCCACGGGTGACCCATGAGGTACGTAATTCATGAGATCCCTGCGGGTGCTGCATGGTGCCTCACAGGATCCTCCGTGGTTGTCCTCGGGGGGGGGGGGGGGGGGGCATTTCCACGGGTGCTGAGCATCGCCAGGTCCGCGCGGCGTCTCCTCCAGCTCGCAGGGCGCAGGCGGCGCCGGCGCAAACTCGGGGGGCGGCATCGCCGCGGCGCACTGCCTCAGTCTGTAAGCAGGGACATCCACACCAGTTAAGAGCGAGGCAGTCGCCTCGCCGAGCAACGACCTGAAGTCCTGAGCAACTTCGTCGAAAATATCCTGGTCCAGCTTCTGAGCCATGCTGCGAAAATCTTCGCGAGACTGAAGGCCCGGGGCCATGCAGACGGATGCAATCCTCCCGACGCCGTGAGAGGACTCATTTGTTCAAAAGAAAATTCCCCGAACAGAGCTCCGAGAAGCTGGCGATGGTGGAGGGGTCGCTGGGCCCAGCTTTGCGCCGATCGGACGCGCTGAATGCGTGACTCCAAGGATGGGATCGAAAGCTTCCGAAACCTCAAGAGCCCGACGGTCGTCATAGTGCACGGGCGACTTCCCGTCCAGTCCGCGGCCTTTCCAACCGCCGCAATTCGACGGGATCGAGCGAGAGCGGCCTTCAGCCGAAAATAATCAAACTCGGTCAGCACGAAGGCGTCGAGGCCGCTCGCGAGAGAGTTGGCGAAGCCCTGCAATAACAAACGCTCGAATATCCAAGGCGCCCCAAAATGCCGCACTGAGCCCAAAGATCTACATGGGGCCCAAGAAGCCGTAATACGTCTATCGGCTTCATGGTGCGCGGTATCCCGAAGAACCCCGTGGGTCCCAGATATCGAACTTGCACCTTTATGGAGCCCACGAGGTCACCCCCGCCCCATTGTACTTATTGCTTTAGGTGTATACCGTGCGTCCCAAAGAACATCGTAAACTCCTGCTCGGTCATATTCTGGCCGAGCCCACACGGGCCCAATCTAGCACTCAACAGCGCACCGTGCTTCAAATCTTGTTCACGAGTTCTGGGAAGGTCGAGCCGTGATCCTGCCTATATAAACTCATGTAGATCGTCAGCGTATTTTAGAAGACGAAGTCCAACTCTGTGATGTTCCCTGGATGCAACAAACTCGCCACTGCATACCATCGTGCTGTACATCCTAGCGCCAGTCATCGCTGCTTGAAGGTTCCACTGAAAGCCTGCGCGATGCAAAGATCCCCCATGCGCCCCCCCCCTGCTGCGGTTGTAGCGTAATCCCCCCGCCCCCATGCTGACAGAGCAACAACCGCTTCTCGATATCTAGGGCGGCAGACTGCCTGATCTCCAGGCGCAACATATTCATCGACAGCAGCACCCGTGCGCTCCCAGTGGCTGCTGGCGAACGCATTCCTCAAATCTGTACAGCACGTGCAAAAGGTCCGTCGGGCGCGGCGAAATCAGTATGATACTGCGTTGGACACAAGTACGGCTGTCTCTCGTCTTCGGCCGCGGACGATCAGATAGTCAGACTGGCCTGGCAGGTAGGTATTCAAACGTTCTCGCGAAGTACGCCTTGCCTGGGACAGGAAGAATGTGAACAATTCGTTTGCCTAGAAGCCCCCGTCGATGACTCTGCGGGGCGGGGCCCCACGGGTACAATTCCAGTATTGAGGAATGGCCTGCTGGGATCTGATCTTCCGGGGCCCGATGCTCACTAACATTTGTTTAGGAAAAAAGCTATAATATATGGGACCTTTTTTGTGGGGGCTCCGAGACCTTCTAACTTGGTTCGTCGCCAATTCGGGTAGAACACCATGTGCCAGAGCCCGAAAGGCGCGGAACAATAACAGGGGCAGCTCGTCGCTCGGGAGCCGACTGAATAGATCTACGCATCTGAGAGAAGCTCCCTTTTGGCTAGCTCCACAATCTCCTCCTCCTCCTCCAAGAACGGGTAGTTTTCGTCGTGCTCTTCCCTCCACGTGCCCCAATCGATTTCCCTGCAGCTCATGTCCCCATCCTTGCCCTCCCTTTTCCACACCTCCTTCCATGGCGAAGAAGACGGTAAACTGGCACATGCAAGACGACCGTCTTTGCGTTCCGGCCCATATCTGCAAGAGGCTGCACGGCGGGCAGTCGACTTAGCTTCAGAAGCTCTGTGATGCTTCCAATGCTCTGAACACTCATCCACTAACTGTGCCCTCCTCCTCCTCCTGGCCTGCCTCCTCAATTTGCAAATCCGAATGGGTATCTCGCGAAACTGCTTCTCAATCTCATCAATCGCTCCCGGCTCGCAGTCGAGCTTCTGGCTGCGGGTCTCTTGCCAGTCCTTCAAGAAGCCGTCGCCGCCATGTGCTGTCCATGTACATATGATACTATGGGTGAGTGGTGCTAACCTTCGAAAAAACTTGTTCACCTGCACTGCGCAGGGCGAGCTCGACGGCTTCAACATTCTCATCGGGCGAGGCGTGGTCGCGCTACCAATGCGCCTGAACGTGCTGGAGTTGGAGGCGGAGCGCATTCAAGAATTCATGGCGACGGGGTCCGTGCCTCCTGCTCCTCCTCCTCCTGATATTGGTCGCCCTTGTTAAACTAATGCATGACTAGTGCTACCGGTAGGTGGTCCTTTCGCGGTGGCCCAGGCACAAGCTGGACCTTGGCCCCCAAGCGCCGTAAAAGGGAACACGATCGCATAAGGTGTTGCATACCAAGCGGGCAGCACAGGTAGTCGATCCTCAAGATCGAACTGTTCTCGAAGAGCGCGAAGGCGACCTCGCCCCCTTGTGCGTTGGCAGCCCACAGATAATGATGTTCTAAGAATTCTCGAAAACGCTGGCCCGCACCGTGCGGAAACCTCTCACGATTGACCGGACCTGTGGAACTCGAAATGCACTCATTCCAAGAACCGTTCGGATGCACGAGCCTCATACCGTCAGTCAAGTCGATGTAGAGTAGAGGGGCGCAACGAACTGGTAACGTGCTCGGGATATTATTCAGCGAATCCATCACCACATGCGCAGTTCTGAAGTAGGTCCCTCGCTGATGACGCTGTGTGGGATGGGGAGGGAGGTAGGCGCTCACGACGCAGATGTCCAAGACCGCCTTCTTTATCCTGACTGCAACTCCCCGTTCCTGAGCCTCTGGTGGACTGTTCCAATTCGCACAGCATGTGATTCCTTCATCACCCGATGTGGAAGCACAACGGCCACCCCGCACGAGTTATTCGAAAACGGAGCCTTGCCGTAGAGTGCCTCGTAGACAAGCCGCCCGATGATGGTGCGCTTGAGGCGGGGGGGAATCACCGCACAGACTACATGGTGGGATGGCGGTATTGCCCGAAACTGTGCATCTAAGCCTCGGGGGCTAGGAGGAAGAGGAGGAGGAGGAGGAGGAGGAGGAGGAGGAGGAGGAGGAGGAGGAGGAGGAGGAGGAGGAGGACGGGGAGGAACGGGGAGGAGGTCGGCAGGGGAGGAGGACAGCGCGAGGCCAGACAAGGAGGCCAAATCCCACCAGCCCTTTAGGGCGTGAGTGGCTTAGGGAGCTTGCTCAGGCCGCATTCGGAGGAGGAGGAGGAGGAGGAGGAGGAGGAGATTGAGGAGGAGGAGGAGGGGGAGGAGGAGGAGGAGGAGAGAAGGCGGCCAGGTGGAAGAAGCCTTCCTCAGCCTCGCGCCCTCCCCTCCTGTGGAGCACTCTTGGGCCGCCTCGTGGCCTCTTGAGCCTCTCGTGGGCCATCTTGGAGCTATTTTGAGCCGTCTTGGGAGCATCTTCGGCCATCTTGGGTTCCTTGGGCCGTCTTGCGACACCCTGGGCCGACCAACATGGCCCCCGGAGGTCGTGTTCCAACCCGCCTTCTTCCCCTTTGGCCAGGGACTTACCCGTCCTCCCACCCCCTCCTCCTGGACCTGGACATGGGGGGTAGCGAGGGTTTGGAGCGTCCAAGATGGCCAACATCATTGATTGTGCTAGGGTTTGGGCTACATGTTGGCCTCCAGCGGGGGCGACGCAAATTAAGGCGCCCCCTCCTTTGATCGATCTGTCAACATGGCCCCAAGATGGCCCCCGATGCTCCCAAGGGTGCCCCAATCAGGCCCCGAGAGGTGCCTAAGAGGCCCCACGTGGCCCGAAGAGGCCCCCAGCATGCCCCCAAGAGGCCCCACCCCCCAGGGACGCCTAAGACGCCTCAAGAGGCCTCTGCGAGGAGGCCTCCTGGGGGACCGTAATTCAGGAGCCGCCCTCCTTTGATCGATCTCCTCCAATATGGCCCCAGGGGCGCCAGAGGCTCCCAAGGGTGCCCCAAGACGGCCCCAAGAGGTGCCCAGGAGGCCTCAAGAGGCCCCCAATGGTCTCCCAAGATGCCCCCAAGAGGCTCCCAAGAGGCCCCGAAGAGGCCCCAAAATGCCTCCCAGATGCACCGAAGACGCCTCAGGATGCCCCCAAGACTGCCAAGAGACCCCCAAGACGCCCCAAGAGGACTCCAAGAAGATCTCGGAACAAATCCGAACAGATACCGAGAGGCATCCAAGAGGTTTCGTGCCTTTCTGCTCGCTCTCCTGCTCCTTCTCCTCCTCATCCTCCTCTTCCTCATCCGCCCGTCCCTCCTGCTTCCTCCCCCTCCTCCCCCTCCCTCTCCCCCTCTCCATCCTCCTCCTCCTCCTCCTACTCCCCCTCATCCTCCTGCTCCTCCTCCGATTCCTCCTCCATCCTCCCCATCTTGGGGTACGATGTCTTACCCAGCCCGTTATTCCACTGCATGCTCCTCCACATCCTTGATCAGAGCGACTCGTCTGGGCATCGCTTCCGGATGCGATGGTGGGGCGACGCGAAGCGTCTGGAATCCGCCGGCCCCCGCTTGCCACGGGCGAAAAGGCGTGTGAGGTATTTGGCTCTCACTTCCCATGATCCAATTCGAGTTTTGGGGGGGCCTCCAGGCTCCATAGAGCTGCCAGACAACCCAAGAGGGTCCACGCTCAGAGCCAAGACAGTCCGAGAGAGCGTCGAGACGGCCCAGGGTAGCCCCACGACGGTCTAAGATGGCTTCGGGACGGCCCACAAGGTCCCCAAGACCGGCCCACGAGCGTTTCCAGAGAACCGCCGAGAGAGGCCCAGTAAGAAACAATTGCCCCATTCCCTTGGAAAGCGTATTTGCTTAGCATGTTCGCCTCTTTCGTTTTGGCAGCGTTCAAGACGGCCAAAAAGGCACCCGTCCCAAGGGCCCAGCCGAAAGGGCCCCAAGAGAGCCCCAAGACGGCTCACGATGGCCCGAAGACGGCCACAGGTGCCCCCAACACGGCTCGAGAGATGCCCTCTTGGACCCCAAGAGGGGCCCAAGAGGGCGAATACGAACTGACAGTTCGAGCCTTTCCCTCAAAGATAACCCCAAGCCCCCTAGAGGCCCCCGAGGCGCCCCCAAAGGCGCAGAGAAGCCTCCAAGAAACCCCCCACGAGGCCCCCAAGAGGCCCAAGAAAAGCTCCAAAGAGTTCCCCAGGTGACACAGTGAGCCCGCCAAGATGCCCCTGAGAAACATCCCAAGAGCCCCTCATATGCATCCACGCGCTTCTTGACCCACATTATTCCTTCCACGAACGCTGCAAACTCTCACTGCATCTCCACACTCCGTGAACCCCCCAGAGGCCGTCTCGAGACCCTGACAACGCCCCGAAGCGGTTCCCAGAGCGCTTCATGATTGCCTACCACAGCCCTCCCTGAGCCTTGCCCACGGACTCCCGTTGGCATAGACGCGGAGACCGCAGATCCACATTTGCAACCGTAAGACTGCGCGCGACATGCTCGGCCCCAACCGTTCCCATTGCTCTCCACTCTCCCGGAGCCCCGCATCCTGTTCGAGAAACGGACGACGAACTCGGCATCGCCTCTCAAGTCAGCAGGACCTTCTGACACAGACCGATCGACCGCCCAGCTCCGAAGGCCCCAAGGGAGCCGGCAGAGCCCCAAGAGAATCGAGATGCGACACAACGCACTCGGGCCCCAATGCTCCGAATGCCTTCCGCGACCGTGCGTCGCTCTCTGTCTTTCCTGCGGGTCGGCGGAATGGCGCAAGCCACTTGAACTTCAACATGAGAAAGCTGACTGATCTCACGGGCACCACTAGACAAGGTCAAAGCCTGTATAATCGTCTCTCGACTGCGATATTCAGAGGGCCCATCTGCAACGGTGTCTGGGCGAATCCGCAGAGTACGCACCCTGATCGATTGAAAGAGTAAGCCGCGGCTTGCTGCCGCCTTGCAGTGCGCACAAGGGGCGGACAAAGGCAAGTCAGTTGGCCGCCTGGCAGTGCGCAACTAAGTAGGACAATGAAAATAGAAGTATCTCCTGGCGACGAACCCAACCTTTTCTAAACACGCAGCGGCTGTAACCATGACCGTTAAAAACATAAGGACGCACTGAGGGATCTGACGTGCCCCTGAACTTCTTGCCTAAACACGCCAGACCGCACTCGACGGTGCCCCATTCACGTACGCACCCTCACCACTCACATTGCAAACGGTGGTGGTACGAAGCGAGCAAGGGGTGCGCCGAAATGGGGCGGGTCATCATGCGGACGCTGCCAATGGAGTTCCCCATGGGGCCACGGATCGTGTGAGGTGTGCGCCGAAATGGGGCGGGTAACCATGCGGGCGCAGCCACCGTGGCCTTCGGTTGAGCTCCCGATGGGCCCACGAAGCGTGTGAGGGGCCTGCTGAATTTTGGAGTGGCCGCATGCGCATGCAACCACTGGGGCATCCGGTGGAACTCCCCAATGAGCCGCGAAACCGTGAGGGGTCTGCCGAACTGGGGCGAGGCCGCATGCAAACGCAGCCGCCAAAACCTTCGATGGAGCTGCTAGTGAAACCGTGAAACGTGTGAGGGGTGCGCCGAAATGGGGCGGGTAACAATGCGGACGCTGTCACTGGGGCGTTCGGTGGAACGCCTTAGGGGAACACGAAACGTGTGAGAGGTGCAATAAATATTTGGGCGGGTAGCCATGCGGACGCTGCCACGGGGGCCTTCGGCGGAGCTCCTCATGGAGCCACGAAGCGTATGAGAAGTGCGCCGAACTGGAGCGGATGACCGTGCGGACGCTGCCATTAGGGCCTTCGGTGGGCTCCCTGTGGGGCCACGAAGCGTGTGAGGGGTGTGCCGAAAGGAAGCGGATAACCACGCGACCGCTGACACTGGGGCCTTCGGCGCAGCTCCTTATGAGGCCACGAAGCGTGTGAGGGGTGCGCCAAAATGGGGCGGGCAACCATGCTGACGCTGCCACTGAGGCCTTCGGCGGAACGCCCTATGGAAGCAAGACGCGTGTGAGGGGTGCGCAGATCATTGTGCGGGTAACCACGCGGACCCTGCCACTGGGGCCTTCGGTGGAGCTTCCTATGGGAACGCAGAGCAGGTGTGTGCATGCCGAAATGGGGCGGGCAACCATGCGGACGCTGCCATTGTGGCCTTCGGCGGAGCTCCCTGTGGGGCCACAAAACGTGTGAGGGGTGTGCCAGAATGGTGCGGGAAAGGACGCAGCCACTGGGGCCTTCGGTGGAGCTCTCTATGGGCCCACGAATGCAACCACTGGGGCCTTCGGCGGAGCTCCCTATGGGGCCGCGAAGCGTGTGAGGTGTGCGCCGGAATGGGGCGGGTAACCACACGGACGCTGCCACTGGGGAAGTCGGCGCAGCTCACTGTGGGATCACGAAGCGTGTGAGGTGTGCGCCGAAATGGGGCGGATAACCATGCGAACGCTGCCACTGTGGCCTTCGCGCGGCGCTGCGGACTCAAAACGAGGACCCAACACACAGGAAGTTAGGAATTAGCCTGGAGAGGGACCCAACCATACGCAATTGTGAGTGACGCAGTTGTGAGCATCGTCTTCGGTGGAGCTCCGTATGAGGACACGAAGCGTGCGAAAGGTGTGCCGACTGGGCGGCAAGGACGCATGTAAACACCGCCACTGGGGCCTTCGGTCGGGCTCCCATAAAAACACACACACACAAAAAAAAAAAAAAAGAAGCAACGTGTGAGGGGTGTGCCGACATGGGCGGGGGGACGCCTACGGACCCTTCCACTGGGGCCTTCAGTGGGGCTCCCTGTGGGGCCACGAGGCGCATGTGGACCCTGCCACTGGGACCTTCGGTGGAACCCACTATGGGGCCACGAAGCGTGTGAGGTGTGCGCCGAAATGGGCGGGGGGGCGCATGCGGACCCTGCCTTCGGTGGAGCACCCTATTGGGCAATGGAGCAAGTGATGGGTGTGCCGAAATGGGCGGGGGGCGCATGCGGACCCTGCCACTGGGACCTTCGGTGGAGCTCTCTCTGGGGCCACGAAGCGTGTGAGGGGTGTGCCAGAATGGGCGGGGGGCGCGTGCGGGCCCTGCCACTGGAGCCTTCGGTGGAGCTCCCTATGGGGTGCTGAATTGCGCGGGGGCGCGCATGCGGACCCTGCCACTGGGGTCTTCGGCGGAGCTCCCCATTGGGCCACGATCTGCGCGAGGGGCGTGCCGAAATGGGAGGGGGGGGCGCATGCGGACCCCGCCGCTGGGGCCTGCGGCGCAGCCTCCAGTTGGGCCACGAAGCGTGCGAGGGGTGCGCCGAGCTGGGCGGGGGGGCGCACGCAGACCCTGCCCCGGGGGGTCTTCGGTGGAGCTCTCTATCGGGCCACACAGCGTGTAGGGGGGGGGGCCCGAAATTGACATGCGCGTGAGCGTGTGATGGCGGATGCGCGATGCTGAAAACGATGTGGATGATGGCGATGGCGATAAGGCGACGATGCTAATGGCGACGACGGCACGCTTGAGAGCAGCGGTATGAACGGGAGGTGGGAGGAGGGGGAGGAAGAGTGAATGAGGAGTGAGTGGACGCGGGGCGCTGTCTCTTCAAAACGAGGACCCAATACCACAAGATGGATGGGAGAACAACACTGCCCGCAAAGCGACGGCAGAGTACGTACGCTGACTGGTTAGAAGAAAAAGCTGCAGCGATTCAGCTAAGTAGGAGAGTTAACACGGTGGCAAAGAAGCACTGCAACGATTTAGCTACTGGCGGAACCAAGCGCTGCCATAGGAGCGACGGTACACACGCCCTCCATCAGAAAAATTCACCATGGCAACTCCAGGTCCTGACAGCATGTGCCTGGCACCCTTCGGCCTCTAATCGACCCACTTCCCTCCGACCCACGCATCCCTCGCCCACCCGTCCAGAACTCCCCTCCAGGATCAGGGCCGTGACGTTGCCAAACTCGGGGCCGGTGGCCGCAAATCGCGCGCCTATGGCAACGCGCCCCTTTCACTCCCCCCCCTCCACCCTCTGCCTCTCCCTGCCCCGCAGCCCCGCGCTTCTAGCCGTGACGCGGCTGGCGCCCTGGCTTCGCGCGAGGGCCGGCGCGTAGCGTGTCCTCACCCGCCGCCTGCTGCTGGTCCCTCGCCCTGAGGATGCTGAGCATGTACTCGCCGCCGCTCCCCCGCGCCCCAAAGGTGTCGGCCAGCCGCCCCAGGGCGGCATGCGGGTCGCGCTCGCACTTGCTGTCCAGCGTCTCGACCAAGTTCCTGACCTGCACCCTCACGGCCTTGCTGGGTCGCGACCTGGACTTGACCGCGTGCGGGAGGTGGCAGAAATTGCAGTTGGCACCGTTGAGGCAGCCCAGTTTCGCGCTGACGTAGAGACACGGATTGCAGTGGCCGGCGGCGTGAGCTGCGTGCTGCTCCTCGATCCCTGCCTGCCATGCTGCATCCCGCTGCTCTCCGACATCGCGCTCCTCACTGAACAGAAGGATGCGATTCGCGGGATGGGAGCCGCCAGGCGCAGAGCTGGAGTTTCCGCAGCACTCGTCCTGGCTATCGTCGCTGAACACGCAGTACCCGCTGATATTGTACTGGCTGCTGTCGCTAATCTCCGCCCAAGAGCAACGACTACCCGAGGCGACCGAGACCGACTCTGAATCCAACTGGTGGCTCGTGGCGCTCCCATCTGCGGTCCCAATGGGGGACCGGTCCATCCGCGCAGCGAATTCCCGACAGTCGCGTTCAAGGCGATTGTCGCACTTGCTTCTGCTGTGCGTGGGCGTGGCGTCCGCTACCTCCAAGAAGCTGCTCTTGCCAATAAGCATTGTTCCGTCGGCCTGGTTGTGGTGTTGCTCCGCGGCGCCCATGCATCAAACTGCTCGTGCCGCCAACCCCGCGCCGTGGCGCCCTGTGCGGATTCAGCCGCTGCTTGGATGTCCCAGGCGACCGTGCCGCGCACTCAAAGGCTGCGCCAAGCGTGTGCCAAAGCTGCTACGGAACGCAACCGTAAGTGAGGACCCCCCATTCGCTCAACGCCAAAATCCGCCGACCCAGTCGGCGTGTGTGAGAGGCTCCTCAAAGCGAGGCCACCCGAATCCAAACTGAAGTACACCAGCCTCCTTTGACTCGACTTCGTCGTGAGGGAAAGTGAACGAAAAAAGGGGGTTCGAACAACGCCGGGATTCCTTCCTTGTGTCCCTTCCTCGACTCGAGCAGGCGCCCCTTCTCCTCAAAACGCTCCCATGAGACCCCGCGACGAAGCCATGATACGTGGACCCACAACCATGCCAGGATGACAAATTCCACGGCGCGGGCACCCACATCGAATCTCCAGAGACAGAACGAAAGCACGGTTCCTGGAGTGCTCGGATCGTCCCGAACGACCCGAAACCCGAAAACCAGATCCTCACTTTTCCTCCGTCTCCTCCTCCTTTCGAGCCTTTCGAGCGCGGCCCCAAGTCGCTCTCGCGACGCGGCCGAATATTCTCCTCATCCTCCTCCTCCTCCTCCTCCTCCTCTTCCTCCTCCTCCTCCTCTTCCTCCTCCTCCTGTGTTTGGTATGTTTCCTCCTGCTCCTCCTGCTCCTCCTTTTACTCCGTCTCTACCGCCCCCTCCTTTTTCTGTGCCCCCGTGCGGCTCCGAGCAATCGCGCGCTGCCGCGAGCGCTTCTGCGGGTCTCGCGCACGCGCCGGGCACTTACTTCACCGTGCGATTTTTGCGGGAACGCGCGAAATCCGGTCCAACCGCGAAGTGGGATCTCGGGAGATTCTTCTTGCACGCGCCGAAACATTCGCACGCTTGACAGCTGCGCGCCGTGGAGCCGAAGCCCACCCGATCTGCGCATGCTACTTTCCTCCCTTCGCCACGTGCTCCGATTCCTGGGCGCTACTGATGTGGTCCTGCCGAAAGAACTCCTTCTCGCGCGCTGCGCGCGTCAACTGTCGCATCAACCGCTTCGCCGAATCGGCTGCCCCCTTCGCGGACATGACCCACTTCGAACAGCCTTCGCACGCCACTCGTTTGCCTGCTTATTCCCGATGGCGTTCCTCTTGTTCTGCGGACACTTGCCCAGCGACCCAGAACATTGCCCCGCAACCGAGAGAGCTGCAAATGAACGGCTTCGCTTCCGCGTCTGATTTCTGGTTATGATTGTTTGACTCGCGCGTCAAATTCGCGCGTTCCTCCGCGCATGTCCGACGCGGCCTCTCCCCAGCTGCGCAGCGTTTCTTCTGCGCTTCCGACATCTCCACCTTGTTCTCGACAAGCGACATGCGCGCGCCATTCGAACATCGCAGTGCGCCAACGCTGCCCAGCAGCTTTTGACTCGCACACACGCCCTCGCATTTCGAGCGCTTATTGGTCCTGAACCTTTCTCGTCTCCTCCGCGTCGCCAGTCTCAACGACGCCGCGGTCGCCGCAATGTTGCGCGGGGCCGTCGCCCTCCGCTCGTTGTAGAATTTCTCGTCCGCGCATGTTACCTCCGCCGTGTATTCTTTAAATGGGAGGCTGGCCTGTCTTTCCCCTGGAACTCATACTTCGTGAATGCCTCTACCAGCGGCGGGCTCGCACTGGTCTCGCGGCGTCTGTTCCGCCCATGCTCCTCCCAGCCCACGCCTCGCCTCGGAGCACCTGCAACGGCTTCTTCGCGCTGGCCATCTCGCCCTCGTTGCGCGGCTCTGTCAGGAGACCGGGGGATCAAAACATGCGTCGCCTTTGCACGCGCGCAATGGCAACGCGGGTGGACATGCAACTCACGCCGCGCCCCCTCATGGTCTGCGACGACTGCGGCCACCGGTCGCCCCTGCGGGGCGCGCGCTGTCACTGCCGAAGACAGCGCGATCGATCATGAACTGAGCGCGATCGACAATCAACTCTGGGTGCTCTCGATTCCCGCTCAAGAACCACTGGCGCCGATGAGCAGATTGCGCGCGGCCCCGGACCCCGGCCCGGCAGACGCCATTCCATCGCGTGAAAGCCCAGCGCAATTATTTCGCGCAAGTGCAACGACGCCTCCCCGCGCTCGCGCGCGACCCACACACGAATCGTCGCCTCGCGCCCCCTGGGGAGCTCCTTGTTCGACCGATCCAGGTCGCCCCCAAAGGCAACGGGCGCGCTCTTCGCCGGCGGCAGCCACGCTGGGAAAGCTCGCGCACTCCTTGCCACGGTGCCCCAGCCCCCGCACGTTGTCCTCCACCGTGCGCGGCCGCCTCTGCCACCCCCCGCGACGCGGGCGGCCTCGCGCTGCGACCCAGAGAAGCTGCTCTCCACGCTCCTGCGCCCACATCGCAGCACTCTGCTTCTCAACGTGGCGCGCGATGTCAGGATTGACATCCATTGCGACGGCATCGACAAAGCTTTCCTCGCGAAATCGCGCGTCTTCAGGCGGCGTCGCGACAAAATTCCTCTCCTCTCGCTCACCATTGCGCGCCTCGCACTCCAGCCCGTGATGATTGGCCATGGCCTCCGCGCTCTCTCGGCAAAGAACGGCGCTTCGCTGCGCCGCGCCGCTCGCCTGGGCCCCCTGGACATCCATTGCCCCCCTGGGCTAACAATTGCGCTTGTGTTCTGTCCGCGCTCCTCGCCGAAACCCATCTTGCACGCCCAGGGGCCAATCGTCTTGGTCCTACACGCGCATGCACTCCGTCAGCTCCGCCATCGCCCGCGCTGCACCTTCGCCCCAACCTCCCAAAAAAGTGCGCCGACCGCGGCCCTCCGAGGCACCCAGCGCGCGCTTCCTTGCATTATTCGAGCGCGCCGCGGGCAGCGCGTGGATTGCAATTCCCGACGGCGGCTCCAATAAATAGACACCTCCGCATAACAACAATTCCGCGCCCCCGAGCCTGCCCACACCGCCTCCTACCTTTGCGTCGCTTGCTGCGGACACGCGCGACGCGCCAACGGTGCTCACTTCGCCGACGATCAGCCACCTCCGCTGTGACATTCGCTGTGCGGCCACTTCTTTCTTCGTGCTGTTCACCGACCCCGTGCTTCCATCGCCCCCGGCGCTCGGCGATTCGCCTTGTTCACGCCCGCGCCAAATGCGCTGTGGATCGCCGACGACAGACGCGGCTGTGGCCTGCAAAGCTGCCGCCTTGAAATCAATGCCTCGCGTCCACCCGGTCTCCTCCTCGAGCGGCTCCTTCCGAATCTTGTCGCCGACAAAGCTCTTCCCTGGCCCCGGCCAGCCGTGCAATGCCCGCGCGATGCTCCATGTCGCCACGTCTCTGCCCTGCTTTCTCTCCTCTCGCCAGGGCCGGAAATTTCTGCGCCAGTACCCGATCTACCACCTTCACACGCCGCTACGTTGAGCAGCGTTCAGCCGCCCGCAAGCCCAATATTCAACTTCCACGCGCTGGACGCCGAGGCCTTTTTTCCCAACTTGCGGGGCGCTCTCCGTTTCGCCATTCACCGTTCCTTGTTGAGCTCTCGCCGCCGCGGCCGCCGCTTTGTGCTCTCTGTGCAAGCGAATCGCCCCAGAGCAACACCCTGCCCCCTCCGCGTCTCTTGCGTTTTCCCGCTCGTCCGACGTAGGTCCTCGCCCCACGCGGCACCCCCGTTGCTATCGGCTCCCGGTTTTTCTTGTTCTCGCCCTCGGCTACTGCGTTAATCCTCTAGATCTCTTTCTCCATGGACGTATCCCATGGCCACGACCTCTGGTGGGGAAAATCTCCCGACCGTCGACTCCCTCGGGGTGAGAAGAAGGAAGTGGCAGGAGACGCGAAGCGAGGGGATGGGAAAGGGAAGATCATTTCCCGCGTGCTAGTCCCTTTCTGGTGTCTCTCGCTGGCCCTGGGGGTGCCTGAGCCGCCCCAGGGCAGGGGCGAGACGACGTGCGGCACGAGCTCCTGCCCTTGGCTGAGACACTTCACAATGTCGACGTGTTTTTCGTGTACGAGGATCAGTGCGAGGGGAAGTTTCGAACATAATTATTCCCACCGTTCCAACGCGCAAACAAAACACCAAAAGGAAGGCGGGGCAAACTGGACCGCCGGGGACGTCCCCACGACCGCCCTGGCGCTCCATGTCCAACGGAAAGCAATTCAGCCTCGCAGGAAACGATAGAAGCGAGCGTAGAGTTGGGAGACCGAGAGCCAACGCAAGGCCGTTCAGCTCTCACAGAAAACAGCGGGTGACACGCGTCACCCCCGAGACCGTGTGAGAAAAAACAAATGTAAATTCAGGATTCTGGGAGCCAACATTCGGCCACCCAGCCCCGCAAAACCACGGGTGGCACGACGTGTCGCCCCCGGAACCGTGTGCGAAAAACCAGTTGCAAATCTGGGGTCCCGGGAGCCAGCATAAATAAGGCCGTTCAGCCTCACCAGAACAGCCGGTGACACGCGTCTCCCCGAAACCGTCTGAGAACACCAATTGTAAATTTGGGAGTCTGGCGGCCAACATAAGGCCATTAAGCTCCACAAAGAACAGCAGGCGACACGTGTCACCCCCGAGCCAGTGAAAGAAACACCAATGGTACAAATTAGATTCTGAAGCCAACATAAAGCCATTCAGCCTCACAAAACAACAGGTGGCACGTGACCTCTGAAACCGCGTGAGAAAAACGAATTGTAATTTTGAAATTATGAGGGCCACCATAAAGCCATTCAGCCTCGCACCGCGCGCGAGAACTGAACGCCACCGCGCGCACGCTCGCGCAGTCGCTCGCGTGAGCACGTACAGTGTCCCAGTAAGACGAAATCTTCTTACTCGTCGACCGAAGTAGCCTCCACATTTGCACGCATACAGTGCCTGCGCATATGCAAATACATGCGCGTGCGTGCGTGTGTAAAAGTATATGTATGTGTATATATATATATAGTTATGTATAGATGCACATTCATAATGTGTGTATTTATCAATCGCATCGTTCGGTCCCCGTGGAATGTATTCCAGGGGGGAGAATTAAATCAACAACTATTCGGCGGCGAATCAATGGCAGTCGGGATCTGGGGGGGGGGAGGGGGAGGGTCATCATGTTTTAAACAGGTTTTGA